CCAAATGATGAGGAGGAAAAGAAAGGGAGATTTCACCTCACTCATGCAACTCGTGCAACTCAGGTACTAGGGTTCCCCCCGCACTCCAGCCCCATTGGGGGCACTAAGGCTCTGGGCTTCCCCCCCAGGCCTGGATTAATTCGTCTGAGGGCTGGGTCTAGCACACTTTGTGGGGTTAAAAATGAGGCATTCAGTGTGTGGGAGGGGCCTGCTGGGGAGCACGCTGTGGGTGGGTGTGCAGAGTCTGGGGGAGGGGTAGAATGCAGGAGCAGGATGAGCATGTGGGGTCTGAGCAGGAGGTAGGTTGCAGGAGCAGGGTGAGAGCGGCGGTGAGAGAAAGGGTGAGAGGTAGGGTTCAGGAGTGGGCTGAGGATGTGGGGGCTGGGAGGGAGGGTACAGGAAAGGGCTGAGTTGGGGGTCTGGGCTGGAGGGGGTACAGAAGTGGATTGGGGGGTGAGGAGTCTGGGGGGCAGGGAGCATGAGATGGGGGCATCTACCTGGCGCAGCTCTGGGGAGGAGGCTCCGCACCGTCCTGTCCTGGCTTGCAAGCTCCATCCCCATCACTCCCGGCCAATGGGAGCGATGGAGGTGGAGTCTGTCAGCCATCACAGAGGACAGAGCTTCCCTGTGCTGTCGTTCCAGCACAGAGCCACTTCCTCCCCCATCAGGCCGAGCCTGTGGATTTGAACCCCCTGTGCAAGTGGAGAGCCCCCTGTGCCCCACTGGGGGGGAGAGGGGAGGTAGACCCCCTGAGCCTCATGGGCCAGATCAATGCAACCAGCTGGCTACATCCAGCCCATGGGCCATAGGTTCCCCCTTCTTGCTCTGAAGACTGAGCAGAGAAAGGAAATGTAACAAATACTGAACAGTGGGTTATTTTTACATTGTTATTTAGGTGGAATGTTAAACATCTTGCACAAACTTTAATTCATCATGTATTAACCAAGAGTAACTAAGCAAACTGAGCTGATGTGTTTTAAATTTTAAACCTAGAGGAACAAGACCAAACCCACAGAAATTCTTAGACTTATAAAAGAATTGTCCCTTTCAGTATGTGCTAACTTCTTATGCTAAGCAATCTGTTCTACTTTGCATTTTGCTGTGAAATTGGGAATTCCTTTCCCAGATCTAAAGAAAAGCTCTGAGGGACTTGTAAGCTTGTCTCTTACCAACAGAAGTTGGTCCAATAAAAGAGATAACCTCACCCGCTTGTCTCTCCAAGTTATTATCTGGTTGAATGAGGTTAATTTATAGAGCTGCCTTGGTTGTTTCAATGTCTACTCATCATTGCCACATGATGTGTTACATCAGTACCAGGTATATCAGGGACAATGACCTCACAAGTTGCTCCTACACTACTTCTCTCTGTGAGTGTACTCTAAAGGGACCATCTCTAAAAACTGGGCAGCTGTGTGTGTGAAAAGCAAAAGATACAACTTTTGTCCAATATCCTCTCTTGTTCATTCTCTTCTTGGACTCTTTATTGCTGATGGCACTTCTCCACTAGGCACTGAGCTTTCCCAGAATGAATTGAGTTCCACTCACTCAATATTTATCAGCTGTAACAATTTCCAAGCTTGGAAACTTCGAGCCTTAAACTCACTGGGAGTTTTGCCACTGACTTCAATTGAACCAGCTCAATATCTACCAGAGCTAGATGTGAATCAATGACTGAGGGATCAAGGGCTCTTCTACAACTGATCTCTCATGCTCTAAATTTAAAAGTTAACAGGATCTGAATTAAACCTCAAAGAATAACCTAAAAAAGAAAGAAAAAAACCCTGTCCCCAACCAATCAACCAGTCATCAGCACTTCCCAGGGTGAATGCAAACTCCACGCCCAGACAGCTGGAGACACAGATGCGATTTTGTACTTATACATAACATAACTTACACCTTATTACTGGAATACTCCAGGTGGGCACTTGACAATTACTGCACAGAGTTGCCTTCTAAAAAATCTGGATTCATTTCTGAACATGGCAGACAAGTGATCTCTACAAAATCCACCTCCATAGCCCTTCCCTTAAAATTATGAAGGCTATAACCTAACAGACATATCTGCCATATGGGCAGCTGGTGCTCTCAAAGCTGAGAGAGTATAATGTTCTCTAGCCAACATAAGAGCATAGCGTTAACATTTTCAAAAATGCCTAAGTGACTTAGGAGCACATGTCACTGAAAGTCAGTGGAACTTGACCATAATTGCAATGTTAAAAAGTCAAATGAGTTCTCAGGTCAGTAATGAAAACAATCTAAAATCTTTGTGACATCTTAACAAAAGACACAGAGAGCTTGAATGGCAAGGTCAACAATGTGACAGCCAGTTCAAACAATCAAGGAGAACCCTGGGAATGTAAAGAGACAGCAGGAGGATGCTCCACACTGCCCAAGGGTCATAAAATGTAGGGGATTGTGCAAGGTGCTGAGTGGAGTTGAGTTCCCTAAGTACCTGGGAGGAAGCACTCAACACTTTGCAGGATCAAGCCACTGAATTAAAAGAAGCACTATGATTCTTATTGGACATTTGAAGAACACTCCTTTGTTCTTTCTCTTGTATCATTTGCTTTGCTCTGTGTAGAAGGCTAAACTCTATCATGCAATATTGAGCACTTGCTTTAAACACATCCTATATGGACAACCTGCTGTTCCAGACAAGTCAGCTGTTCCAGAAGGTACACTTGACGCTGAAAGAAGCATAATCCAATAATGCCTACCTTTGCTTTATGTACTACAGCGTTATAAGCAACCAGTTCTAGGAAAATGTGCTCTATTTGTTGTTCACAATAAAGTAATGCAAAAGACTTGCTTTAATAAATAAAATTCTTCAGGATTCTCAAGGACTTCCATGCACTTTGGTAACGTCAAATAACTAAATGCTTGGCAAGCTCACTGAACTCTTTTAATACTCACTTTACTGGGGTACAGCATAGTGAGAAACAGAGGTGAGCTCTATGCTTTGCAAAGGTGCGGCCCACTTGCAGTGCACACTGCAGTCAATGGCAGAAATCGTATTGTGAATGACTTGTTCAAGGCTACACAGTGAGTCAGTAGCAAAGTTTGAATAAAAGCCGCCTCATGCTCTACCATTTAAAAAAATACTTCCCACCCTCTACTTGAAGTTATGAATAATAAACATCCATAGGACATGGATTAATAGTGAAACACTTAAGAATTCAGAATATACTGAAGCGTCTGCATAAATCCATTTTAAGCATATGCTTAAAATCAATCCTCAATAAGGATTCCTGAACTGAGGCCAAGAAACAGATTCAGATTCATTATGTTAACAGGAGAGTGATGTACTTAATTTCCTTACTTGGAATAAATCAGGATTGCTACCAACAGTGAGAATTTATTTCTGAACAATGTTTTTTTTCCCATAGTGAAATAACTCATCTCTAACTTGCTAGTATTATAAACTCTTTTTACAATTTCTAGTAATTTAATTTATTATTGCACTTCCAAGGAGGCAGATGTTAGCTATAAGATATACATTACTCTACTGTTCAAGGACTTGCTTCAAAAACATAAAAAAGGAGATATAGGCCACAGAGTTCTTGTAGATTGAAGCTTCTGTTATTCTCTTTTGGAGGTGCACACCAGAAAGTGATTACACTCAGCGCAGAGGTCACTGCATACGTAAAATCTAGGTAGGAATCTGGAGAACTGAACTGTTATTGTTCTTTCTGTAAATTGAGTTATGAAATGAAAACCATAAAACAAATCAGTTTGGAAAACATCAGTAACATGGTGGGGCATTTTCTGCATGATATAGTAAATTCCTGTTATCAATGTTACCTTTAATCTTTTCCATCCGTGTGTGGATTTTTTCCTACCCACCTGCAGAATAAAGGTTATATGTACCACAGCATGTGTAAAGGTACACTACCAAGAGAAACAAACCAAGCTGTGGGCTCTCTGCTAATCAGCTGGGCAGCACTGGAATCTATCCTGAGAAGCCGGCACAAGTGCTTAGCTTACAGGGAACACTGCCTGTCATGTGGTAGTGCAGGCAGAAGAAAGGAACATGTTCTTTCAACAAGAAGAATTGTTTGATTACTGATAACTAGGAAGTAATGCAGAGACTCAATGCTACTTGCAGAGCTAGTGAAATCTTCCAGATTAATTCCTTAAATACACACCAGTAGAATTTGCTCCTGACTCTGTTACCGTCATTCAACTGTGTCATGTTATCATTTATTTTGACTTCTGCTGAATGCAATGCAAACCAGCACATATGCCAAAAAAGGAGTGCCTGGGCAAAAATTAAAATAATAATCGAATGAAAGATGAAGCTAAGCAGCTGTCCCTCCTCCCAAGTTACAAAACAACCAAGCACAATCAGACCAAGCTGATAGCCCTTGCCCATACAAACATGTGCCAAAACAAAGCTGGGACAAAACTGGCAGTTTCTTATTATTATTGCTTTGAGACTGTGATTTGAACAAACCCCCAAAACACACACACACACACACACACACACACACACACACACACACACACAGAGTTGCAAGCGCCCACGTGTAAGGAAAATACAAATATACATTCAGCATTACTTCCCGTCCCCCACAACCAAATTCTCCAAGCAAAGACCAAAACCAAATCAGTCATTTACAACCCTATAGAAGCATTTGCAGTATAACCCAGGAAAAGTTTGTTATGGAAGCCAATATCAATTTCATTGTTTAATATTGTGTAATGATCCTCCTAGAGTAGGTACGTAAAAGCTATTTGACTTTTCAAATCAGCCCTCAGTTCACAAAGTGAAATGACAGGTTCCATTACAGCTTCGTTGCACAGCTAAGGAACATCAACTTTCATAACAGTTTTCCAAAACTTGGCCAGGGCCAGTTTGAATGCAGCTGGTCTTCATCATAGCTCTTGACTCATTAAGTCATTAGATGGAGGCTTAAGCACATGAACTTTGGTTTTTCTTTAGAGAGAAGATAAGAGACACAAGGACTGTTTTTCTTCAGCTAACAAAAGAGCCAACATACCCGAGCACCTTTCTCTGGAAAACATTTGCAGCCGGTGCTGCAATCTCGACCGCCACATGGTCCATTATAGGATTTCTTTCCACCCTGTAAAGGAAAAAGAGGAAAAATGAGTAACCAGATCCTACTAGGCATCTGAGATCCTTCTTAGTCAAAATGCTGTAATTAAGAGCTAGTTTGTTTCATTTCATTTTGAAGATCTACATTAGTCATGTGGATTTGTTTGACATCAACTAGACTGGCTAACTAACATGCAACTTTTTAAAGCAACTGGCTCATTTTCAGAAACACTGATCATGTCAACATGAGAAAATGTCTTTAAAACCGTTAGAGGAAGACAGATTTATAAGTTGCACCTGATCATGCAAGGTGCTGAGTGCACTCTCGGTCTAGCAAGTTTCACTGGGCTTGAGGCTGCCTTGGGATAATAAGCACCCTATGGCTGTGTCTACACTGGGCCACTTATTCCGGAAAAGCAGCCGCTTTTCCAGAATAACTTGCCAGCTGTCTACACTGGCCGCTTGCTTTTCCGGAAAAGCAATGACGATCTACTGTAAAATTGTCAGTGTTTTTCCGGAAAAACTATGCTGCTCCCGTTCGGGCAAAAGTCCTTTTCCGGAAAAACTGTTCCAGAAAAGGGCCAGTGTAGACAGCACAGATTTCTTTTCCGCAAAAAAGCCCCAATCGCAAAAATGCCGATTGGGGCTTTTTTCCGGAAAAGCGCGTCTACATTGGCCATGGACGCTTTTCCGGAAAAAGTGCTTTTCCGGAAAAGCAGCCTGCCGATGTAGACGCACTTTTTCCAGAAATACTTATAACGGAAAAGTGTTCCATTTTAAGCATTTCCGGAAAAGGGTGCCAGTGTAGACGTAGCATCCGAGTTTAGGATCACTCTATGGAACTAGAGCTATAGCCCCTCCCACCAAAATCCCACAAACCTTGAGACAGCTTATACAAGCAATCCCCCAAATTCTTCCTCTTGCGCACCCCCTTGCCAGTGACAGAATGAGGCTGTGTCCCCCTGGGGAGCGCAGTGCTACTGGGCAGGGGCAGGAGGTGGGCCCAAGCCTGCATCTGAGAGCGGGGGTTTGGGGCAGGGCCGCAGCGGTGGCCAGGGGCAGAATAGGGCAGGAAGCTCGGGATGAAAATATGCAAGAAAAAAGTTAGCGAATTAAACAATTTAATTACAGTCGGTTAACTGGCTGGGGTCCAGCCAGCCTACTGGGTGAGGGGCTCTTCCCACCCAGCCCACAGTGGGTAGGTAGGGGTACTACTCTGGCCAGCTGGCCACAGTCTTCCCACACCGTTCTGTGAGCAGGGAACTGCTCTGGCCAGCCAACATCCTGCCATCCAGGCCACAGCAGGCCAGCTGCCTCCCCCCACCCTGCCAGTTAACCAATTAACTAGTTAGTCTGCTGGTAAGGCAATGCTTACCAGTTAACTGGTTATCCTTTTACATCCCTACTGGAAGCACTCCATCATAGAGACGGGCCTGGGTACTGCCATCCTCGACATTCCTTCATGTCCCATCTGGGAGGCGCACCCCTCAGTTTGGGGACCACTGGTTTGGACCAAGATCTGATCCTTCTGTTTTATGTCCATCTCTGTAAGTAGTCTCAGCCTATGGGCTAAGCACTAGAGAAGCTTATATTTTTTAATAGCAGGAAAATACCCCACTTAGTGCAGAAGAGACCTCACAGTGTAAGAAGGAAATGTAACAGTTTGAATATATTTGAAAACCTGGGACAGCAAACGGCATATTACACGAGCTGACTGTAAACTAGTTCCAACCAATCTCCCTCTGCATGATATGGAATTTGCTTGTTACATTTCCAAATAACTATGTCACTATTATGTTTGCAGCAATGGAGAAATGGACTTTTCAAGAATAAGTTACACAACGGTTAAATATGCTATTTGCCCCTCCAGGGAACAGGCCACATAAACGATAAAAAGCCTTCTATAGATGCTGCTACTGATATTCCTTTAGTTCATGTGATAGAGAGCCATTCTGAAACCATTCTTAGAGTTCCTGATCCTACAAAACACACACTTCACAATCCTGAGGGAAGGTTGTGCAAACCAATAATTGTATAAGTAAAGATTTGCAGAACATGTACCTAAGAACGAAGAAGGATAACTGAGTGGTGAGTGTCAATGCAGAATTAAATTGTATGCCTTAACTGGGCATTTCCAAACCATAAAGTGTTTGGATTTCTTTTTACTTTATCCTCAGTTCTGAATTTACTGGGCCTGTATTGTTTATTTTGGGAGTCACTAAAACATTATGATAGGCTAGTGATATGGCCTTTCAAACATGCCTAGTTTAAATATAGTTGTGAGGGGCTGAATCACAGAATTCCTCTGGGTATGTCTACACTATGGGACAAAGTCAAATTATGCTGCGCAACTTCAGCTATGTTAATTGTGAAGCTGAAGTAAAAAATAGTTTAACTCAGCTTCTACACAGCAGGGAGTCAAAGGAAGAACACTCTTCCATCCACTTCTTTTACTCCTCATGAAAGCAGCGTTACTGGCATTGACCGGAGTGCCCCTCTCACTTCAAAATAGCTGTCTTAACTAGACTGCTAATTCAAACCATGGAAGATGGACAGCCACAGCTTCAGTCTTCCTCTATAGTGTAGATGTACCCTCTTAGAGCTGTCCCCCAGTTTGCTGGTCATGCCACTGATGCCTGTCTTCCTGCTCTCTGGGGTCCCTATCATCCTGTCCGGCTGGGCCAGATCCTGCAGTCTCCTCCAGACAAGGCACCACTAGGGATGATTACCACTAGGGATGTAAGCAACTATAGGGGTTACCACTAGGGTTGTAAGCAACTATAGTCCCTTGACTAGCCACTTTCCCCCTCACCCTTGCTGCCTCTAACAGCAAGTGGGGCAGGGAGGGGGGGAGAGGGATCAGGAGCCAGTGCCAGAGCATCATCTCCACGGTGGGCAGGGAAGGCAGGGGGGTAGCAGAGACCAGGCGTGAGCCGAGAATCAGCTGATTTTCAGCACACACCCAGTCTCAAAAGCTGCACCTCTGCGGCGGGGGTGTGGGGCGCGTGTGTGTGTGTGTGTGTGTGTGTGTGTGTGTGTGTGTGTGTGTGTGTGTGTGTGTGTGTGTGTGCGCGCGCGCGCTGTCTAGGAATTAACTAAATAAGTTTAGTGAGACTCAATAAACCTTTTGCCTTTGAAGGTCCTCCCTCCAGCTCAGGGTTGAGCGTCATTGCTGGATCGTTGCAGGAGAGGCATGCAACACAACTGATAATGTTGTCTTAATAGATGGAAAAAAACCCAAGAACTTCCTGGCTCTCAAGCTAGCACCTTCAGGAGCACTATATTCATTCCATTCACAAAAATGGGTTTTTCCACCCGTTTTTTTTAAACTTCCTTCCTCTGATGGATGTGCTCAAGTAAATGATGCAAAGGGAAGCCTTCAGTGGTGAATGAAATACCATCTTCATCCCCAGATGACCAATATATATATGGAGACAAGCCTAGGCTAGAGTTAAACATTTTCCAGTTAAGCGCATTTTTGGAAAATATTCCTCAAGCCTTCCAACTTCCCTAACACCTGGAGTAAGCTTCTTTTTGCACCTTCAAGAATCCTCATTACAAAGGCTTTCTCAAGACAAAGAGGACAAGAGTAGCAAGTCTAGCACAAGGGTGATATAATACAATTTTCACTAAAGACTATTTTTAGATAATAAAACTGTACTCATTTGATAAAATATTGATGATCACAGAGCTACATTACATTAGCAAGCAACTTCTTACATAGCTTACGATCAGCATATATCACCAAAGAGCTTCAATAGCCAATTACATATGTTTTTTTGCCCTGGAGGTATGTTGCCTTGTATTGCAAATCAGTTATGACTGGGTCCATGTAATTGTAGGTTGCAGCAATTCTAAGCAGCTGTTTTAGGGCCAGTTCCTGCAAAGTTCTTGCACCTCCCACTGAAAACCTAAATGTAGCAGGGCATAAAGCTGTAGGAACCCAGCAGCAGAAAGAAAAGAGCAAATCAGGCAAGCTGCAAGATAGTCAGTGTAAGTGGAACCCTGACCCAGTCAGGAGAGTGGGGCCAGAAACAAAGGTCAGATTACAACAATCAGGAAAATGCAGAAAAAGAATCTCTTTGGATGTCAATGGAATGCACTCCCAACCTAGATGGAGCTACTATAAGGTCGGAGCGGGCTGGATAGTTATTAACGATTCACAATCATGCTGCAAGGGCATAACAAGTGATTTTCCACAGGGGGGTTGTTTTGGGACTAGTTCTGTTAAACATCTTCATCAATGATTTAGATGACACACAGAGTATGATTAAGTTTGCAGATATCATCAAGCTGGGAGGGGTTGCAAGCGCTTTGGAGGATAGGGTCATAATTCAAAATGATCTGGACAAATTGGAGAAATGGTCTGAGGTAAACAGGATGAAGTTTAATAAGGACAAATGGAAAGTGCTCCACTTAGGAAGGAACAATCAGTTTCACACATACAGAATGGGAAGCGACTGTCTAGAAAGAAGTACTACAGAAAGGGATTTAGTGGTCTTAGTGGAGCACAAATTAAACATGAGTCAACAGCGTGACACTGTTGCAAAAAAAGCAAACATGATTCTGGGATGCATTAATAGGAGTGTTGTGAGCAAGACACAAGGGCTGTGTCTAGACTGGCCAGTTTTTCCGGAAAATCAGCAGCTTTTCCGGAAAAACTTGCCAGCTGTCTACACTGGCCGCTTGAATTTCCGCAAAAGCACTATACTGTAAGAAATCAGTGCTTTTTGCGGAAATACTATGCTGCTCCCGTTCGGGCAAAAGGGCCAGTGTAGACAGCAGAGATTTCTTTTCCGCAAAAAAACCCTGATGGCGAAAATGGCGATCAGGGCTTTTTTGCAGAAAAGGGCGTCTAGATTGGCCACGGACGCTTTTCCGCAAAAAGTGCTTTTGCGGAAAAGCGTCTGTGCCAATCTTTCCGAAAATGTTTTTAATGGAACACTTTTCCGTTAAAAGCATTTCCGGAAAATCATGCCAGTGTAGACGTAGCCAAGAAGTCATTCCTACGCTCTACTCTGCTGATTA